TCTATCTATCTATCTATCTATCTATCTATCTATCTATCTATCTATCTTTCCATCTTTCCATCTTTTAATAACTTAGATTTGTAGAATTTAAGCCAGTCAAGTCAATTTTTGAATAAAGTACTTGTAATATCAAATATGGAGACCAGAACACCCCCCTCCAGACCTGGCCCTATATGAGGGCACAGAGGTCTGTAACTGATAATTAGATCAGTTTAGCTGCACTTATTGCCTGTGGAATCCAGCAGTTCAAGTCCTCTATCATCCAGTGGACTGGTGGTAGGACTCCCCCTTCCCAGGTCCCCAAAAAGGGAAACCTTGTTGGGTAACTTGCCTCACAGACAGTAACAATTACTCAGCAAATTTAACCACGCAGCCTTTAAAATGCTGGCTGCCTCATGGCAGAATGAAAACGAAAGCAGCTGTCACCGCCTGACCTGCTGAAAGCAAAACCGCTCAGCGGGAAGGCGCAGGGGCTAATTCCCTGCCCTGAGGTGTTCTGCGGGGAAAGCCTCGTAATAAAAAGGAAAAAAGGCTGCACTTTTAAATGGAAGCTTCAAACCTTGAAGGGACAGAGCGTTTACTCAGCCGGCTGGGAGATCTGAGAGATAAGCCTCCTTGTTTAGAAGTTTAAGGCAGCGTGTCTCTGAAACTAGAGGCTTTTAGCCTCAGGGCAGATTGGAAAGGTAAGCCTTCCCGTTTATGAGGCTTTAGCCTCGGGAGGCTGGAACGTAAAAACAAAACAAAACAAAACAAAAAAACGAGCGAAATGACTTTTGGAGATTCCCAGGGGGATGGTTGGTGACAGAAACTATGGTATTACCTGATCTGAGAAATAAATCAGCTAAATCGCCAGTGTTCTGTTCTGACCAGAAAAACAATAACACAACCTGTCTGAAGAAAGGCTGAGCTAAAACTGGGGACGCTAAGGAGGAGTCTCATGGAGGAGGAGAAGTGTCCTCAAGTTTAAGCCCAGCCTTCCTAGAAGGGACTGAAGCACCTTCCCATCACTGGATGCTCTGAACAGTTCATGGGAGAATCATAAGGTACAACCCTTAATAATAGTCATAGGGTATAATAAGCAATCAAATCATACTAGGAAACAGTCAATAAAAATTGTTAGGATGCAAGCGACAAAGCTACAGTCATACAGTCATTAGTGGGAGGAGATGGGTGAAAGGAAGGATGGAAGGATTAATAGTAAAAGTAATAGTAATGCAGACTTAGAAAATAGTTTGATAGTGTTGAGGGAATTATTTGTTTAGCAGAGTGATGGCATTCAGGAAAAACTGTTCTTGTCCCTAGTTGTTCTGTTATGCATTGCTCTATCACTGAAACACTCCCAAAATGTCATACTGGATTTTAAAAACATCAAAACAAATTGATCAAAGATATAACTATCAATCTAAATTAGTTACATTTAAATGAGCCCGATAAAATTCTACCATTGTACTAGATACAATGAAGGCCAGCTGCCACATTCGTTTTTTGACTGTAAGGTATTTTGGCATCACCTGATAGTCCAATAATGAAAATCTATTTTTCAATTCAAAGAATTCATCTTGCATTTTTTACTGAGTCTTATATCTCTATCCAAAAATAGCATAAAAAATGAATAATATTTCCAAAAGATATGAGGAGTGTTCAGTGCTTTATATAATTGTCCAGATTACAAATTTGACATATTGCTTTAGTCATAGAAGTACAAGTTACCAACCCAGGACGTGCCTGCTCCTTATAAAAACTATCAATTAAAGTGTTCCAAATGGTATCATATGTTCCAAAATGAACAAATCTGTATTTTGTATAAGATTTGAACAATTAAAACCATATTTCTGTATAAAATGAAAATCATCAGCATACACGCTTCCAGCAATGCTTCCCGAACCCATTAACTCACCATTCTCATCAAGTAAATCCTCTTCATCATCTCCATCATTGTCCTCCTCCATTGCTTCCTCATCATCTTCTTCCTCCTCTTCCTCTTCCATATCCTCCTGCTCCAAATCTGGGTCCACATCTGGATCACTCCCTGAGACTGACTCGTCCGACATGATTCCCAGTAGCGCTCCTTGTGCATTACCTGCTCATGATCTATATTACAGCAGCCCTACAAATTAAAATAGAGGAAATAAAGATCAGATAAAATTTACAAGCTCTAAGGCACGATGTAGCACAAGCCAAGTTTGTTGAAAATTATCCAGATTCCTCTATTACTAACTTAGAATTACAAAGTTGGAAGGGACCTTGGAGGTCTTCTAGTCCAACCCCCTGCTTGGGCAGGAAACTCTACACCAGTGATGGAGCACCTTTTAGAGACCTAGTGCCCAAACTGCAACACAAAACCCATTTATCGCAAAGTGACAACACGGCAATTTAACCTGAATACTGAGGTTTTAGTTTAGAAAAAACAACTCATGCATTAACATCTTTTGTCTTAAAAGAAAAACACAATAACAGAGCTTTAAAAGATGCAAACAACTTTTGATATTTACAATTTCAGGCAACTCTGTCCCCAAAGCAGCTCTGTCTCCACTTCTGCAACTCCAGCTCCATCCAACTCTTCTTTCCCCCCCATCGCTTTCTGCCAGGATGAGGACTCCGCCCCTTGCCTGCCCCCTGAGATGCCTGATCCCACTGGGGCTGCCCCAATCGACAAACTCTGGTGAACTCTGTGCTGGGGCAACCGCTCTGAGTGCCCCCTCTGACACACATGCCACAGATTCGTCACCACTGCCGTACAACACTTCAGACAAATGATTATCCAATCTCTTCTTAAAACCTTCCAGTGTTGGAGTTTTCACAACTTCTGGAGGCAAGTTGTTCCACTGATTAATTGTTCCCACTGTCAGGAAATTTCTCCTTAGTTCTAGGTTGCTTCTCTCCTTGAGCAGTTTCCATTCATTGCTTCTTGTCCTGCCCTCAGGTGCTTTGGAGAACAGGTTGACTCCCTCTTCTTTTTGGCAGCCCCTGAGATATTAGAACACAGCTATCATGTCACCCCTAGTCCTTCTTTTCATCAGACTAGACATACCCAGTTCCAGCAACTGTTCTTTATATATTTTAGTCCCCTAATCATCTTTGTTGCTCTTCTCTGCACTCTAGAGTCTCAACATCTTTTCACATCGTGGCGACCAAAAATGGATGCAGTATTCCAACTGTGGCCTTACCAAGGCATTATAAAGTGGTACATAAACTTAGAATTCTTATAAACATATCACTTTTTAGAATTATGATATCCTTTTCATGGCAAGGCATGGGAATAATTACAAAGTCTCCAACCATTTATTTAAATTTATAGCTGAAAATATAACATGATAACAAGCACTTTAAACACCTGTACATCTCTATGATGATACAATTCCAAACTGAAGCAAATTTAAATTGCTTAAAACAAACATGCATGCATGATTATACTCTATTGTATCTGAATATTTCCTGATTGATATTTTCCAATGAATGTTATATAAAACATACTTTTGCTCACTTTATAATAAAATATTCTCAACTTTTGAAAACTCTTGTGACTTCTGTCACACACTTTTAAAATAAATAAGATAAATATTTATCAAATGATAGTTTAATGTTGTAACTCATGCTGTCATTAGCTATAATGGTTTACAGAATTTTCTATAATAAATTTTAATTAAAATTCATATATTTAAGGCAAACATGGAAATATAATCAATTAACATTTAGAGAATAAATGTTAAATGAATAAAAAGATACAGTATGTATACAACCAAAGGAGCAAGAATAAGGGAAGCAGATGAATGATGTAAAATCAAAATGAAGTAGTGGACTAGATTAAGGAATTGAAAAGTTAACAAGTTAAGGTAATTGTTGAAATACTTGAATTAGTATAGATTTACAACAATTATTATAATGTTTTAATGCACAATTAATTTTTGGTCTTCAGTTCTGAAGAAGCTTCTTGGATGAGAAATGAAACATGTTCAAGCAAAAACAAAGGAAGTCCAGTTGCTATTTGAAAAAAAGGATCTTTGGGACATCCCAACAGAAAAATGTTTTATTACTGCAGTTTAATGGAAACGTACTTCTCAATAATGTATTGATTGAATATTAAGCTTATGGTCACTCTTGTATGGTGGAAGAATTGTAACCCAGTAATATGTGAACAATTTTCAACTAGTACAAACTTCAATTTGTATAACACACTGGAGTCCTTCCAGTAAATTCTGAGGGCCAAGGGAGGTTGGATTAGTAGAATTATAATTCTCCAGATTAACCAGAGAAAGTATTTCTTTAAAGAAAGTATATATTTGGATTTTATCCATGAACTATTTTTGATTTGCAAAACCCTGAACAGATTTGATCCTACCCAAAACTGTAGATGCACAGGATACTTAAACGATTGAGCAATGAATATGATCTTCTCTTATTGCCTGCACATATAAGAAGCCAGTGTCACAATTTACAATAATTATGTGAACTCAGTCAGGGATACTAAATCAAGAAATAATGGGGTAGTATTACATGTGAACCCAACACATTATAGCTACACTGTGAATACTGGAAATTATCAAGAGTAAAATAAGGAACCTAAAGTACAAGCCAAGCCAAATTGATCACTGTTTAAATATATACTGGTTGCTTCCATTTCTTCAGATCTGATTAAATTTCTAATCTAAATCTAATCTAGGAAATTAGATTTCTAATCTAATCAGATTAAGTATAGGAAGAAAGAGAAAGAGAAAGAAAAATAAAGCCAGAGAGCAAGAGGACAGTTACATAACAACTCCCTTAAAAGAAATATAATGTTAAATGTGAAGTCTGTGCTTCCCAATGCTTGTTTATTTCCTTTTTAAACTAGGTCTAAATTTATCTTCCCAGAAAATAGGAATATATTCTATTTTTTCAACTTAATAACCAGGATGGCTTCAGACCTTCAATTGTGGCTTCTCTAATAAAATTCAATAAAAAATCAACATAAAATAATCAATGAATCCAGTCAGATTTAAGAGTATCTCTAAATTATTAAATAACTGAATAGAATACTTTTAATGGGAGATTTTTATTCTAATAATGTATTTAAAGCTATTAGTCCTTATTTAACAAATAAAATATGTACAGAAGATAGCAAAAGTGTATCTGTATACAATGTATCATATAAATTATATTAAATGTTCAATTTGGTTGCCATTTTTTGTAAATACTTCCTTACTCTTTTGATGCCTTTCAACATCTCTATGTATAGCAATATTTTCTCTGAAAAAAATATTAAAACATATTATGATTGGCCTCTGGAGCCTGCCTTTTGATGCATCCTGTATACAATAAAAATCTTATCAAAGCCAATTTTATTTTAAGGAAGCTCATACCCAAACAGTGTCAACTTATACTGGTGAACCGCTTACTGGATCAAGCAAAATCTAATCATAAAACCAGCCTTCCCACACCTGCATACCCATTTCATTATCATCTATCTATCTTATTTCCAGTTACATAAGAAGTGCTACTTTAGAGGGCTAACTGTCACATGTCAAACTTGAAATATAAAATATGAGTATTCTATCCCAGTCAGGTAACCACAACTAGACATTAGCTTCCCCGAATTTTTTACACATGCCTTACCCAGTTCAAAGCTATCTACCAAGGAAAATTACATAATACACCCACCTCCCTAGTTTTATGATAGATTATTCCAACCTTTCTCTCTCACACACACAAATCAGCATTTAATCAATGGTGTTAGCACTTGTTTCAAATTGATGAGCAAATTATTTTCAAATGATTAATTACAATATGTTGACAGCTCAGAATTATCTCTTAATAAACTCATCTTCTATTCCCCTAACATAATAAGTACATTAAAAGTTGTAATTTTGATACATTACTTCACACATAAAACTTACACAAGATTATATGGCTCTGGATCAAACTACTGTTTAAACATCAACCTCATATTTGTGAATGTCTTTTACTAAGCTACAGCCCCTTATTATTCCAGTATTTACGAATGGGAAGCAAGATAAGAATAGATATTTCAACCCTTTGAATAAAGATAGACATGAAATCAGGTCTAATTATTTTTTATATAATTCCATGTAAGTTTCTCCAATCATCCAATAATTTTAAGAATTAAATTTATTTAGTTTTTTAAAACATTAGATAAATATATAGATCAAAAATTATTTTTACAAAAAATATTTTACTGTTATCAATACAAAGGGCAAACTAAGCTAATTTGGGAGCATAACATTTCTTAAATACAACAGTAAGTCAATTTAGAACTAAATCCCACAAACTAAGACTGACAAAGTTGATTTATTGTTATTTTCATGCAAAAATCACCTTATTAAAATGACCTATACAATTTATAATTAACAATCACGACACAAAATTTCAGATAACTCCCAAGAGTAGAGAAGATTTGTATGAAAGAAGTATCCACAAAGGAATGAATTATCCAGAAGGGTACAAGCAGAAGGGTACAAGCAATCATTGCAATTAAAAGCTGACGCACTAGCAAAAGAAGATAAAAGCCAAACTGTATTTGCTGTATTTGCTTTTAAATTATTTCTTTGATAGAGTAATAAAAGAGGATATAATAACAGAAAATTTTGCAAGCAGAAATACACAACACACACATACACACAAACTACTCCTCTCCTCTACTCGTTGCAGAATAACTTATGCCACCAGACTTGAAATTCTAGACCTAGAAAACCTAGAACTACGCCGCCTTCAGTCTGATCTAAGTATAGTATATAAAATTATACATTGCAATGTCCTACCTGTCAATGAATACTTCAGCTTCAACCATAACAATACAAGAGCACACAATAGATCTCAATAACTCAAGGTTAACCGCACCAAACTTGATTGCAGGAAATACGACTTCAGCAACAGAGTGGTCAATGTCTGGAATACTCTACCTGACTGTGGTTTCTTCCTCAAACCCCCAAAACTTTAACCTTAGACTGTCTATTATTGACCTCACCCCTTTCATAAGAGATCTGTAGGGGGCATGCATAATTATGCGCACCAATGTGCCTACCGTCCCTGTCCTATTGTTTCTTTTTACTTTTCTTAATTCGTATGCATTTCATGTACTCATAATTATGTCTATACTTATACCTGTAATCT